AGTCATCCTTTTTCTCTTGACTGTTTACTTAGGCAGTTTCAATCATAAGTCACGTTAAACTCCCATTTTCATAGTATTCGGATCAATAACGCTGAACATAGGAGCCAACTGGAGGTACTACGTGCGGATAGCAAAAAAAGTTTAGGGGCATTATTTTTTTTCATATAAAAACTTGGTGTTATCTGCGGGCGTTTAAACGTTGCGTGACCCCGAATTCCTCACATATATCAACTAACGACCGAAGGGGCTCGACAGATTGCCTAGCACAACTTTCCCGGCATCTATCAAGTGCCTCACAGACACTTCCAACTTGAGTGTCCCTGACATTTGTTCTTGAAAGCTATTTACACTTCTTTTTTAGTTTTACAAGTCCAGTTACAAGTAGACACAGTTGAATTTTTTTGATTGAATTGATCCAAAAATGACTACCGTTTAGTTTGATGTTTATTTCAGGTTACAGTTTCAGATGTAGTTTACTTTTTAAGGAATTACTATAGTTGTTATTACACCAAATGTTTTTGTTGAAGTAGCATTCCATTTTCTTATAAGAATATTCAAAATTGCCAAAAGCGTATCTGCAATGCAAGAGTCTTGTATGTGTGACCCATAAACATGGCAAAATACTCTATTTCATTACAGCGCTAACTACGACAATCATTTCCGGCCTGTGTCAACATAGTATATGATCAACAATTAAAACTAATGAGCAGTAGGGAAGAACCCAGCTCCACACTTGTGTAAAAATATACAATAACAAAAACAAGGATATCGTTTAAACATAAGTTTAACAGGAAAATAACGTGCGTCGCCAACTGTTATGTATAACTACAGACCGCCAGAAACCGCTAATCACAGATGACGTAATTAATTAAGAAATTAAATTTAAACTTGACGGTGTTATGCTCGATTAAAATGATATTATTTGTTTTAATTTAATACGGCAAGGTTAAGATCTAAACTTCATAGCACGGTAGCTAATGTGCATTAAACTTGCATACAATACTATGTCGTCATAGTCGGTAGCAGTTTAGAATTAGCTAAGTTTAAACGGTTTTTAGTTTGTTATCAGACTATCTTGCCTGTTTATTCTAATTGGAATTAAACTACATTGTTATTGTAACCGTTTTAGATTAAAAATTCATGAGAAAATACATCCGGGCCGTTATATTAAGTTCCGCGTCGTTTTGTTACCGCGCTTAAACAGCTTGCCCTCTTAAAAGCAAGGTCATTGAATGGACGACTGGTTCATTAACAATGCTCAACATTTAATAAGGTTCCTAATACTGGTGTAACTGACAAATGCAGGAAAATTACTTAAAAACTACTTCAAATGTGTAGCCATTGAGCTGCAAAAGCTTCAACAATTGTACGGTTATTGTGGTAAACCAGGAAATAACGGGGTTCAGACTATAATGCGCGGTTGCAGTTTGATGACAGTCGATTGTCCATACGACTTGTCGCTACCAATTACGTTGTATAAGATTTTCCGTTCGTTCTGAACATAGACAAAGATTTAATTAATATCCTAATATTCTTTTATAGAAATTGGCTGAGAATCAACCGCCGGATGTTTATGGGGTCAACGATTTGTTTAAACAAAAATAAATTGTTATGAATAGGTGCCAGAGCCGAATCCATGTGTTACAGATCTGATTTTAACGAAGTATATCATGAAGATAAAATACTTTTAGGTCATTAGTAATTGTGTCAACCCCGACCATTGAAATTGGGAAAAAATCGGCAATTTTTACGAGTTTCATCGACTGTTTTATATTGGTTTTATAGTTATCCGAAATCGTTTGAAACGGGCTTACGGTCGTGCGCCTAGCAACATAACAGTCTAATGCACAATGTCACAGATTTTACTACAAACATATAGTATTGAGCTCTATATTTACATCTGTGTAAATGTGATTTACAACAAAGGTCCCCTTGGGATCCTGTCATCTCTATCTATTTATTAGCGATAATTTAGAAAGTGTAGTCGTCTAGGCACACGCAGCCAGAGGACGAACACGTACAAAATTCCTACTTATGTAATACCTATACTTATGTACATAATTTGAAACATTTCCAATTTACAGTTTTAGCCTTAACCTCCAAATTTTAGTCTATTTTCAATTTTCTCATTTCTCTTAGCATTATAAAATATTACTTAACTACCTATGTATAGTTGTATGGACAGGAGACAGCACTATGTTATCTTAATCTGTACATCTTGTATTGACTAATGATTGTTTACTTAACCACTGCCCTTATCAACAAGTGGAATATTAATATCACTGGTCTACATCAAAATTGCCTTTTACATGAAAATATATTATATTGATTGTATTCCACTCGCTGAACATAAATATACAAGTTAAAATTCATAGTTAGCTCTTATTGTGCATTTATGCCATATAAATATAATAGCGGGTAGCGCGACAGATATATCACATTAATGATGATAACTCAAAATATTTAGTGATTACCCGCGGAAATTTTATTATTTCACATTTGTTTGTTGCGTTTAACGCTGACTGTGTTTTATTCAACAGTTAAAACGTGAAATTGTTACCGTTTTTTTTTACATTTTTAGTGAAAAATCTACAGTTTTCGTTATGTCGCGTAAATGTGTTAATAGTGCAGACAATTTTTGCTACATTTGTGGTAAGGTGACCCTTACTAACCAAAGATGCTCAATAACTCAACGTTTAGAAACTGCTTACTTCCATTATTTTGGAATTAATATTAAAAACCAAGACAAATCGTGGGTACCACATTTTAGTTGCACAACTTGCTCCACAAATCTGATTAAGTGGCTAAACAAAAAGAAACGTTCATTGCCTTTTGGTGTACCAATGATGTGGAGGGAACCTACCAATCATGCGAATGACTGTTACTTTTGCTTGACTCCACCCATCCAGCACGGTATATCACGAAAAAAGAAACGAAGCGTAGTATACCCTGACGTAGCCTCTGTATCGCGACCTGTACCACACGGAATCGATTTACCTGTTCCTCGACCTCCCGAAGAATACCAGGAAGATTCTGAAGAAGCGATGATTTCAATGGAAGTTGACTACAATGAGCCTACAGCCTCACAATCGTCAGAGTTTGTGGGTGACAATATTGTTTCTGACGAACCTCATAGAGTTTCGCAAGATGAACTCAGCGACCTTATACGAGACTTAAATTTATCAAAAGATAAAGCGGAATTACTAGGATCGAGACTTAAGCAATGGAATTTGCTTCAACCGGATGTCAAAATCAGTTTATACAGATATCGTCAGAAGAACTTGATACCCTATTTCAAATCCGAAAACCAGCTTGCATTCTGTAATAACGTAAATGGCTTGATGAACGCTTTGAACATTGAATACCATCCACAGGAATGGCGGCTGTTTATAGACTCCTCAAAATTGAGTTTAAAAGCTGTTCTTCTCCATAATGGTAACACACAACCATCGATTCCGTTATGCTATGCTGTGCATACTAAAGAAACATACGAAAATATGAAATTAATTCTAGATGCTATATCATACTCAGAGCACGAATGGCAGATTTGTGGTGATCTAAAAGTCATAGCAATGGTGTTGGGTTTACAAATGGGCTATACCAAGTACTGTTGTTTTTTGTGCGAATGGGATAGTCGGGCTAGATCTTTACATTACATAAAAAAAGATTGGAATCCTAGACTAAGCCTGAATCCTGGAGAAAAGAACGTCAAGCACCTTCCTCTAGTTAATTCCCAAAAAATTCTTCTACCACCTTTACATATCAAATTGGGACTAATGAAAAACTTTGTGAAGGCTCTCAACAAAGATGGACCAGCATTCAAATACCTGCAAAGTAAATTTCCACGTATAAGCGACGCTAAAATTAAAGAAGGAATCTTTATCGGACCTCAAATAAGAGAGATTCTAAAGGACCAAAACTTTGATTCAGTTTTACAGGGCTTTGAAAAAGAAGCATGGGAATCTTTCAGAGCAGTAATTCATGGTTTTTTTGGGCAATAAGAGAAATGAAAATTATGCTGAACTTGTGAACAATCTCCTTCAAAAGTATCAACAGTTGGGTTGCAATATGTCCCTAAAAATTCATTTTCTTCATTCTCATCTTGATTTTTTCCCTTCTAACTGCGGTGATGTAAGTGACGAACATGGTGAACGATTCCACCAAGATATCTCGACAATGGAAAAGAGATACCAGGGCCGATGGGATGCGTCAATGTTAGCGGACTACTGCTGGAATTTGAAAAGAGATACCCCTAACAGTGATTACAAAAGACAAACGAAAAAGAGAAGAAAATCTTAAATAAATACGTTATTTTTCTTTTTAATTGTAATATTTCCAATTTTATATAAGTAAAAAGCAAAAAATAATAGTAAATAATTATTATAGTTTTTTTTAATAAAATATTTTGTACTTTAACGTGTTACTAGAAGTCAAATTTTGTATATTAGGTATATTTCCAAAATAAGAGCTAATTAAAAAAACATATTCTTGTTTTTCTATTCAGTAACCTTAAAGCAATATAAAAATAAAGTATTCAATTGAAAGGCACACAAAAAGTTACATTTTGTAGACCAGTGTATTTTGAGGCAAGTTATGACAACATCAACATCTCGACGCAGTTATTATGATTTAGGAGAGTGAGTCATACACAGGCAACATGAAATCTAGCAGTCGACAGTCGACGCGACCGACTTATTGTGTGATGCTCGGCTCGAAACATGAAAACATAGCCTTAACAACGATTTCATTGATTTATTCAGACAAAATATGTACACACTCCAGCGGCGACTCCAAACCATATAAAAATATAATACAAAGCTTAAAAAACACGATGATTAAGCTGTATCGACGCGGGAATGTATCGGTGTCGTCGGCGAAACGTTAGGAATCACGGTCACTCACTCGAGTTAGCTTTGGTACCTCGTAAATGCACGGGTCGCTGTCGCTGAGCACAGCACTGAGAGTCAGACGCTGGCCGCTCGGCCGGCCTTCACCGCTAGCTAGAGCGCGGCAGACTCGGGCGCCATCAACGGAGACAGAGGGCCTGCCACGCGCCGCCCGCGCTCCAGCTCGAAGCGCAGGTCGGGCGGCGCGCGTCGGCCTGTCGCACCATCCTCGGGCAGGAAGGCCGCCACCAGCAGCGCGCAGATCACGAGCAGCGCGCCAAGCACGAACGGTGGGCCCGGCACCATGCGCACGTATTTCTCCTCGCTCGGCTTGCCCGGCACTGCGTGCTCCTCGTTCAGGTCCACGTGGAACAAGTAGAAGATCACACCGAACATGGCAGGGCCCAGTCCATTGCATAGACCGCGGACACCCGTCACCATGCCCTGCACCACTCCTTGTCGGTCTGCCCGGCTGTTCACGGACACATATGCACTGATTGCAGGATATGTGACAGAACCAAGTGCAGCCAGCACCCCCGCAGCCCACATCATCCATGTACGACTGCCAAAGCCGTACCACATGAGTTGAAGCATCTCAAACACTAGTCCAACCATAATAGTATGCTTCGCTCCAAGCGATCTCATTAAGAATCCAAGAACCACTTGTACACCAATACTGAGCACTCCTACGATTGCAATAAATATTGCCACTTGGACTACACCAAAGCCCATCACTAACTTCAAGTACACAAATATGCACGAATACTGTCCGGCCTCGGGCAAGTATGAGAGGAACACGGCCACACACAACATTAGCACTGTACGTTCCGCACCAACTTTCCGTAATGCTGCAAATGGGTCTGCTTGCTCCCAGCTTATAGCGGGACCCCAGCCACTGGGTCTGACCTTCTCTGGGAGGCTTTCAGGTACAGCGACCATTATGAAGAAAACATCCAGAATTGCGACAGCAGTGGCAGCGGCTACTACGAGTGACTCTCCATACAAATCCATCAGGTAGGCGCCCAGGGCAGGAGAGATGACCATGCTGGCGGCAAAGGTAGCAGACACAAGGCCGTAGGCGCGCGAGCGCTCCGCCTCGGTAGTCACGTCCGCCACATAGGCGAATACGATTGAAAACGTCACGGCGAACACTCCACTGATGCTGATCATTGCGAAGAACCACCATGTGTTGATGGTCATCAGCGGTATAGGCGCACACGTAAAGAACACCGTCACTAGTAGGAAGAACTTACGACCCCACACGTCAGAGAGCGCGCCGATCAGCGGCGCAGACAGGAACGACAGGATGCCCTTGATGCCCATTATTAAGCCGTTCATCAGGAACGTGTGATCCGGGAACGTTACATTCAGCACCGATATGATCGGCATCGTGAGCAGTCCCCACGCGAAAAACTCCAGGAATATCACGACTAAAGCGTGGAACACGGAGGGCTCACCGATGCCAGACATTGTCATAATCCCGTCTTTCATAACAGTTTTTCTATTCCGTATCACCATTTCTACTTCAGTTTTTGTGGTCTTCGTGGGCGTCATTTAAGATTTATATGGTTTATTTTCCTACAGAACTACTTATATTAGAGACATTTTGGAAACCTAAGCACTACATGGAGGAAAACTTGATAAAAACGAGCAAGTAGTAGCAACGTCAAAAATCCACTGGAAAATTGAAAAACAATTCGATATTTGTGTTGCCGTCATATAGCTCTCAAAATTGTACCAAATTTAAGAAGTATTTATTGGTTATTAAATTTTTATTGTTGTGATATGCTTATGATTGTAAGTTTAAGTAACTATTTATTGTAAATTGTATTAAATGAATTGTTGTTACATGTACGAAATCATAAACATGATTAAATCAGAATTTACATAATAAAATATAAATCCTACCAATTTAACATTGCTTTAGTTTTGGCAACACACTTCGAACCATAGACTTGTGTACCTAATCACAGAATAAGAAGGATATATTCAAATATCGTTAAATATTGATCACAAAATTTTATTTACTTCGCAATTTTTTTTTCCTTTTATCCCGAATTTAAAGTACCTATTTCGGGATTAGAGTTTACTTTATTAGGACAACGGTGGAACAAAGTGCTAAAGATATGTAACTTTTTAAGAAAGGAACCTGGAACGCACAATCAATACGCGCACATAGACAAGTCATAACTGACATTTTGATTTTTCTGTTCTGGATTTGTCAAAATTGAAAGGAAGAGGAGGCGTCGACTCGTACAATTTTACAATCACAAATTAAAAATTACTATATTTCATCTTTTACATAATGGTAATAATTTTAGACTCGCATTACTGACGCTTAATTAAATTTTATACCATCTAACAATTTATTTTACGTTCCTTCTCCACAGATTCGTTTTATTCTCATCCAAAACCGAGCGGGTAAAACTAGATTGGCAAAATGGTACATGAACTTCGATGACGACGAGAAACAGAAATTAATCGAGGAGGTGCACGCTGTAGTCACCGTCAGAGACGCGAAACATACTAATTTTGTTGAAGTGAGTTCAATTTTTTAAGAATTTAACTTTAAATGTCCTTAGAGATCTTGTACTTTTGCTTAAAAAATCCTTGATATTTTCTTATTATTACAGTTCAGGAACTTCAAAATCGTGTACAGAAGGTATGCAGGGCTGTACTTCTGTATATGCGTGGATGTGAATGACAATAACCTGTGCTACTTGGAAGCTATTCACAATTTTGTTGAAGTTCTGAATGAATACTTCCACAATGTCTGTGAACTGGACCTGGTGTTCAACTTCTACAAGGTAATTACGTCATTAATATGATACCATATACATCTGCTGTCATTGTGTGATAACATGTCAGAAATTTGTGACTTCCTGCCATTCATATTAGTCACTAACAAAAAATTTAAACTTCAACAACATTAAGAATTCTTTCAATCATCACATCTACTGTCTAGACTACACTCTCTCATTACTTGTGCAGTTACTGAAGCAACTGTCTCATAGAGCATTCTTGTTAGGGAAAATGTCTTCTTTCTAATTCTAATTGGAATCTAGTATTTAGAGTTACATTAATAAGGATAAACCGATACTAGCTTCAATTTTATCAAACATAATTTTCTAGTAGGTATTAAGTAAAAAATAATGCCAGTCCTTATTTTTTTAACTCATAAATAATTTTAAAATTGATTAAATTTTTCCTATTTGCAGGTCTACACAGTAGTGGATGAGATGTTCTTAGCAGGAGAGATCAGAGAGACATCACAGACTAAAGTCCTGAAGCAGCTCCTTATGCTCAACTCCTTAGAATAAAATCTTCAAATCATGTTGCTGTGGAGGTGGCCAAGACAAAGTTATTGTAGACATGGAATCTATGACAGTGGCCATAAGTAGCATTGCTTATTTACCATCAAGAGATCTGCCATCTCATTGGCCTCAAAAAAAATGAGTGAATCTCATGGAATGGTCCACAATGCAAGATATTAAATAGTTGAGCTGCTGTGGATTTGTGTCTGTCTTCAATAATCTTGGCTGGTTCTACGTTTAGTGTAATTTGTACTGTATTAAAGTTCAGTGTTGCTATGTTAGACAATACTAAGTATAATAACATATTTTTAGTACTTCCTGGCATGGTTCAGTAACCACATAATGTAACCCTTGAATTCAACTCTCTAGTTGAGTATAATATTATTGTCATAGCCTTGCCAGTAGGTTCTATTAATACAAATAGTATTTATAACATAGCAACATTGATAAGTATTTAAATATTCACTGTTACAACATTATATTGTTACTAAATAAGATTGTATAAAGAATACTCATTCATTCCATCTTGTAGGAACACATTATATTATAGACAGTTTCAAATATATATTGTAGATGTAAAATGATGTAGGCGAGTGGGAAGATAATGTGTTACATTAATAAATGTATGACATTGTCTATTTACTTATAATTATGTCCAAAAGGAGATATCAATGTATAAACAGCACTAGTAGGTGTTAAATTGGGATAATTTCTAGCGATCTTAAGGATTCAATCATTCTAAAGGGCTTAGTCCGGCATTCGGCGGCGCTCTGATTGACCTGCTCCAATGAGCTATCCAATCAGATTTAAAACAGACTCCAACTAAAGTTCAAGAAGATCTTCCTCAGTAATCTACCTATCACTTTATAATGAAGTTACTTATTAAATTATTCCCAAAACGGAGAAATATTTATTGAATATTGAAGTTCTCTTTTTGACAATGAAATGTTATGAAGTATGTATTGTTCACCATCATAAGATCATATTGTAATGTATATAAACTGTAAGTATAAGAGTTTATTGGTGTATATTAGAGTAAATAAAATTTATTGCTTATTTAGATTCCCTTGTTTATTTACCTAAATACTTTTATATCTAAGGGTTAATTCGTATTAGCGGCCAGTCTCAAATGTCAAAATGCCGCAGCAAATTCACCCTTATATAGCCAGAAAGCAATTCTTCGCAACGCTTCGATTCAATAAAAAACGAAAGTGTTCAATAAAACATGATTTATTTATAAAACATATATGTTTTACAAAAAGCAGTCATACAAAACTCGGCGATATATCATAAAATACTATCTTTACCTAAGTAATTACAAAACTATTTTACAGAGTAAGATGACATGTTTAAAATAATTATATTGCACTCCAACAAACTGCTAAATTATAATAATAACAATGTTCCTTATTCCCCTCCTAGATAAATTAATATCTAGGTATAACAATTACTGATAAATAGCAAATTCGTACTTGGTGAGCCTCGCATCAGCACGCGTGGGCCGGCTCGACCGGAGTAACACCACGGCCTTAAATCGGCGTGAAACAACACCCGCCCTTTGTATCGCCGTGTGAGTGAAGTTACCCAATATTTGTAGCCCCTGGAGTTGCGGATGTCCATGGGCGGCTTCGATTGCTTACCATCAGGTGATTGTTTGCTGTAAATCGACAATAATATCAAACCTCATAATCAAGAAGGGTAGAGCATATAACCCCATTAGTTTATTATTTTTAATCTTCTTTTGTAAATATAATTACATTAGGTAATTCTGTTTCCCCTGACATGCGATGTTATAAAATTATTACAGTCAAATTAAAATCATTGTACATACCTATGTAGTTATTCAGTCTTATATCTCGTTCAATTCTAATAACAGTTTAAAGACAATCTTCATCATTTCACCAGATTCTATACCATGTCTCTTAAAGTATACTCGAGTGTAGTATAAATTGGTCCTTATTGCGTACGTCATAAGGTCATTCTACTCCCACTCCCAGTCGTGCAGTATTGGCGGGAACATCCACTCGTCGGGGTGACCAACGTGGGAGAGATGGGGACCCATGTCGAACTTACTCCATCTGCAGAGAAAATATAAAATTAAACAATTTTTTTTAGATACTGCCACAAACTAATTAATATAATATTATTAGTTATCAAACTCTCATGACACATATTTCATTATGAGCCCTTACGCCCAGAAGCAGGTTAAATCTAGGGAACGACCTCCTAGGTACTCATATACAGCTGAGGATGCACGTATCGCGCCGCCTCGGTGTAACCTGGCGCCCTGGACACTTAGTTTGTCTTAGGCATAATACGGCTCTGCTTACAAACTCAATCTGTAGACTAAGGTAATGCCAATAGAGTCTAAAAAAGAATGGCATATGGCGAAGAAAAACATGAGCTCACACAAAAAAAAATAGACAACAACTTGAGAGGCGCGTTATACCCCGCGTTTGAATGCTATTCAAATACCAACCGATATTAAAAAGAAACAAAGTATATAGTTGCATACGCACTGGAATGGCGGTATCCCTCGCGAGATGTTGTGCGTGGGGCTGGCGATGGCGAGGAACCTGTAGCTGCCGCGCAGGTAGGCGCTCGTGATCTTGGCGTCCGTGGCGCCGTGGCTGCGGTGGCCCAGCGCGCGGAATGGAAACGTGCCTGTAACAGTATGTAGGATTTTACAGCTTACCATCACACATAAAAAATAGACTCAGTAAGTAGGTGGCGCTCTTTCGTATATCCACTCTTGGTACTTCTCTACGCTCTCTCAGGTCACACATACACCGTAACTGTGTACGGTAACAGTGTGAGTAGAGTGGTAATTGGGATGATGACGGTATGAAAATTAAAAATCTAATTATTAGACATTTATTTTTTATCTTGTCGTATAATTAAGTAATTAAGTAATACTTAGATAAAACGAATACAAGCTCAGCAGTGGGGGCTAAAACGTCATTTCACGTATAAAATGTAGGTACATAGAAGTGACGTCACGCGACATTTCAAATCAATATATCGTCAAAAATAACTATTCGTTTCTGTAAGAAAATAAAAAATACGTGTCTAATGTTTTAAAATAATCTACCAAAGGGACATTAAAATAAAAATTAGGCATCTACCCTATTATTGAGGTAATCACTTACTTATTTGGCGTCAGGATTTTCGTTTTCAGTATAAAAAATATTCTTAAAACTAGAAGGTACTGTAAAGTATTTTCTGTGTGTTACCGTTAGCCGGGTTGAGATCGTTCCTGGCCGCGACGGCGTTGCAGGCGGAGTACGGAGGGTCGCAGGTTTCGCAGCGGGACAGCGGGTCGTGCTTGAAGTCGTTGTAGCGCATCGTGTTGAACATATCGCGCAGGTTGTAGATGTCCGCCTGTAAATACAACATGGATTATCAACTTTATACAACATTGATTATCAACTTTAATATGAAATGATAAGGTTGAGAGTCCTTTGAAGTTGTTTGAGTTGTTTGAGTATTGTTTTACGTAATTTGCTGTGTGAGGACGTATAGTTGGTTGCTGCGGAATATTTTATTCTCATTTTACTTAGTTTTTGAGTGCATATTTTGAAGAAAATCGGGCCCTCTCTTACTATCTTGAGAGGATTGCCATATACAACGGCATCCATATTGGATTTTGTTCCTCCGTCTCATTCACACAAGCGAGCACCGAGGCATCAACTTGTAAGTTGTTCTTACTAAATAAAATTATTAAATTTAATAAATAAATTTGAAGAAACATTGGAAAAAGTGTAAACGTTCGGCGGGGTTTGAACCACCGACCTCTTGAGCCGAGCGACTTTGAAGTCGACACGCAGGCCATTACGCCACGGACACTGGACGCTGCGGCGCGAAATTGGTGACCATTACTTGCGTGCCGGTGCTAGTTCGTTAATAACACAATTTATTTGAAGCGACATATCGTCACCTTTATGGTAAACTTACGAAACTGCAAAAACTAAACTTTACAGGGGAGCGTTTTGAAACTTTAGATTGACGATATTTATTTTTAAGAAAGTGATGTAATAAATTTTGCGATAAATTTCAGTTTCAAAATCCGCCCGTTTTTATTTACCATGAATGGATTGTACATATAAAACACGTATCAAAAATAAATGCATATTCGTTACTTTACACCTTCATACACGAGAGTTTAAAGGTATTATATTACGCTTTAGCAAACTTACGAAAGTGGTAGTTTCGTAATTTCATAAGAAAACTATTGAAAAAATATTTTGGTAAACTTACGAAAGTGCCACTTTCGTAAGTTTGGTAAAGCGTAATATAATACCTTTAAACTCTCGTGTATGAAGGTGTGAAGTAAAGAAAATGCATTTTTTTGTTATTCTTGTAGTAAGAATAATATATTCACGGTATTATAGTAATTATTCCTTTAAAGACGTGATTTATCTCATAAGATAAGTTATAGGTAGTAATAATACGTTTCAGAAAAAAAAAACAAGTGAATTCATATAATTATGTTTGGAGTATTAGTAGGGTAAAAATTAGTAGGGTATAAAATACTTAGCTATACAAATAATCGTAATTATTTATTTCAGACAAAAAACAATACAGTCACCACTTTCACAAAACAATCAAAGTAAATCAAAATCATCAAAAAAATCAAATCGTAGATAAAAATATTTGATATGTGAGATAAAAAGAAACTCTCTACTGCTGTAGGTACTCTTACAGTTTCTCATCTTCTTCAGCATCTGGTTCAGGCAAGCGATCTTCAATAGCTTCCGAATCTGGGAGGTTTTTATAAAAGGAATGGTAATATTTTGGGATTTGGTTATCGGTACAGAGTTTTAACAGATCTTTTTTTTTGTTTGGAAATAGGCATTCTTTCTGTGTAAATATTTTTTGGTACTATACACGTACTTTTTCCTCTTTTTGGTTTTATATTAAATTCTTTAAAGGTCTCGTATTGTAGTCAATTTTAATAAATATTGATTTAGGGTTGTCTTTACGGTATTGAATCCATACAGCATCTTGGAAATTTATCTTTACTTTAGGTCTTGTCTCCTCTAGTGCTCCATTATCTTCTTGTTCATTATTTCTTTTAACTTTATTCTTTCGCTTCGAACTTTGTTCTTTCGCTTCCACAAACTGACACTGATTGGGGTTGAAATCTAAAAAATCGTCATGAACTAAGACATTCACATTAAATGGCCGAGGATTAGTTCTGGCTAGTCTCATCACCTGTATCCACCC